ACTCGCCTTCTTGGGATCAGCTGGCACTTGGACAGGCTGAGGGTGAAGCCTAGGGCCGCCAGCAGCCGTACCACCGCCCCACACTCGTACTGTGCCGCGGCCTTCGACCCCGCGGCACCCATCTGGTCGTCTATCAGGAAAGACATGCGGACCCCTAGCTGCCGTAAAGGCTGGAAAACCTCGAGCTTCATGCTTGTGTACAAGTGGCAGGCCGGCGCCAGGCCGAACGGCAGGTGTGGCCAAAAAAGCGTCTGCCCCCGCCACCGCATAGCCAGATATGTGTGCTCCCGTTCGTGGAGTGATAGCTGCCAGTACCCGCTCTTGTGGTCCGTGGTGTACAGCCAATCTTCCGGTAGGAGGTAGCTAGGTACATCTGCCAGTCGTTCGTACTTCACAGGCCGGTACTTCAAGAAACAGTTAATATACATCGGATTAATACAGAGGCGCAGCTCGCCGTCTTTTTCCACTACCCGCAAGCCATTGATAACCGTGGGGGGGGGCGCGTCTGCTGGCCATTTCCGTATCACCCCTCGGTCAAGGGCCTTTCTCAATTCGGCTGTAACAAACTCACTGTGCCGAGTCGCGCTGCGATGGTTAGGAAACTGCATGGCTCGCGGCCGGTCACCCGCCATGATAAAGTCTAGGTCACAATCCGGCACCGCGACCCGCAGCATTTCCCGCACTATAGCTAGCTTGCATCCCCGCTCCGGGGCTAGTTCTTGCCCTGGGTAGTCGCACGGCACCCACTCCAGCTGAATTCCGCCCTGCAGGTATCCCAGCCACCGTTTCTGTTTGTCCGTGAGGGGCCGGCCTTCGTTAGCTGCCTGAAAGAACACTCGCCACACTGCAACATGTAGACGTATCCTTCCTGGTTGGAAGTCTTCAGGATCTGGGAGCAAACAGACGACCTCTTCGAGAAACTCCTGTTCATCCCGCAGATCTACCGCGTCCTGTTGCCCCAGCCGCTGCAACCTCTGCCAGGCTTGCTGTAGCAGCTGGAGTGCCTCCCTGCCCCCAGCGTTGCGGGCACTCGCTTCCCAGGCTGGTGCTAGTCCTACGCCGCTGGATTTCCGCCCTGTCGGCTGGTGACTCACCCACTGGTCGTCTTCACAAGGGTCATCTTCCAACGACAGCAACTCGGTCGGATCCCTTCCGTCGCCATCCTGAGTGTCTGCCGGGTAACCCACGTCAGGTTTCCTGTCATCGTCCCTTGCCGTTCCCTGCGTGCTCTCAGTCGACCTGGTTAGCATAGGCCTCTGGGCTTGGGTCTCCTATAAACCGAATAATAACCGGTGGGGCGGGAAACAGGATAAGAGGGTCTTGGAGCTTACACTTAGGTGTCCAAAAGGCAGAGCTGCCCTCTTCCATACCAAGCTCCGCACCCTGCTGTCCCCAGCCCCGAAAGGGGATCCTCAGAGTCGACCGC